AATATATATGTATTCAATAAAATTTCACCTTATTCAAAATACATATACATATCACAATTATTACCTTTATGCATTGTAATTACAAATCTTTTAACATTTTCTTTGTCTGTACTTATGTATAGAAAATCATTAAAAAACTGTAACATAAGTTATAAATTCAATTTTTGGCCAAAAACATAACTCTTTTGATAAGAGTATATAATTAAGAGATTATTATCTGGATAATATCCAGAAGAAGAAGAAGAAGAAGAAGAAGAAGGAGAAGGAGGAGAAGAGAAGTAGTTCTTGTCACTAACTTTCAAAAGTATTTTTTTTTCAAACAAACCAAACATATCTTTAAAAAATCTAACCAAATTAAAATATTTAGAAATTAGTAATACTGATATAGATTCCGGTTTAGAACATTTACCAAGCGGTGTAAAAGAAATTTGCTATTTCTACTAAGAAAGACTCGAATCGAAAAACTTATCTTGTTTCTTAATCTTTTGTTCTCAATTTTTATAATCAACATTAGCATCAAAAAGTTTTTGAACCTTCTTCTAATTGAGATACTAAAAACCTTATCTCATCAATAATTTCTTCGCATCATCTTTGTTTTCTTTTCTTTCTAGTTACTTTGTTAATTGAATTCCTAATTGCATCAAACATTTGATTTTCAAAAGCATCCACACTATCAAATTTGATTTCTTTCAACTTTTCCTCCCAGCTTTCATAACCATCTCACAATTGAAATCGATATATTTACTTACACTATCATTATGCTTCACAAAAGGAAACACTTCCGAAATCGATATATTCACTTACATCATCATCATGCTTCACAAAAGGAAGCACTTTTCATTCCATCTCTCTATAATAAAAGCTATATATTAAATGATTATAAGGTATCAATATATAAATATCAAAAAAAAAACTAATTATTAATTGTGTAAATACGAACCTACAAAGCAATATTGATATAACTAACCCATATGAAATACTAGTACAATATTTATAATACTTGTCTCCAATCTAATAAAAAACATAGCATATTGCATTTTATATATATTGCAAATTACAGAAAATGAGTGCTGTTAGAAGATAAGGAATTACAGATTTTCAATTATATTTTGTATTGGAAACAACTTTAATAAATTAGATAAGTCATGTCTGACACAAAATATAACCCAAAATTGAATATGCATTTTTCCTTGACAGCGCTTCTATAATATAGCAGTTACAGAATCATACTTTTATTAAATTCTACTTGATATACTTTTCTAAGAGATCAAATATTTCCTTTCTATCTAAATATGATTCTTTAAAGCGATTAATAAAAACTGAATTTGGTATTTTTAGTGCTGATTCTCTTGCAAAGGTTGGAAAATTAGGAAAATCATCTATATGTATAATTTATCAAGAACGAAGTATGAAATACAGAGTGTATAGTTTTATGGCAAGTTAAGTGAAGTTCGCAATTCTAGGCATGTGATTGGATGTTTATACTTTGTGACTTTTGTGTGCATGCATTTGTGATAAAGATCGTTACCAAATTTACTATACTGTGTTATTATTATATTATTCAAGCTTTTACATATATTATATGTGCATTAGATTTTAGTCATGATTTCATTGGAATTGTCAATTATGCATTGTGCCTCATAGTAATTTTTTTTTTCTATACCAGGAATGGAGTTTGTACAATATAGAGTATGGTTTACCTGCAATTATAGTTGTTAGACAAAACTGTTTTTGGGAAATGATGAAAGACGAAACCTAAACCTGTCAAAATATGAAACTGATGAAACTCTGATGAAAGACAAAACCTCTGATGAAAGATGAAACCCCCAATAAAAGACAAAAAGGCAAACTCTAGGCATTACTTTATAAATCACGTCTTTTGAAGAGAATTCATCCTTCTTTTTAGATAATCCTAGATCTGTGATATAAGATTTTGTATTTTTATTATTATATTGGTCTTGCAAAATATTACCACTATGAAAATCTGCATGAATGTAATTTGCAAAATCATAAATACAATATAACTTCTGCGAAATATCTCTAAGTATTTGTAATTTAGACTGCCATGTGAGTATACTAAAATTTTTTGTTAAATATTTACGAAGACTTCCATTGTCAGCATACTGAAATGCCATAAAGTATTCATTTGTT